ATGCCAAAATTCTGGAGTACCGGTATTTAAAGATGGGTTTTCTTATTTTTTACTGTCAAATAAAGCAAACTATTTCATTAATTGGTGTTTGTAATGAATTATAATGTATTCTTAATCATATTATTATGTTCTTATTGCATATAATTAAGAGTTTTAACCAACCATAAATGTCCATGTACGTAGTCTGGATAAACAAAAAATGACCTTTTGACCTTTCTTGATCGGCCACTCATTGGCAATTCTCTTCTAATTTAGCCAATTATGATTAGTCATTAGAACACCTCTACTTTCTATTCATATAAGTATTAGCATTTCCATTTTCATAAATAAGAATAAGGGAACCTATCTTTAAAGGTGTAATGTTATAGAATATTGACATTTTTGCTATTTAAAATCGTTACGCCTTACTAAAAGGTTCTAAAATCGTTCTTGTGAATCGCCTTCAACGATCTGTTCTAAAACAATACATCAACGTGTTTGAAGGGGATCAGAGAGTAGACATGAGTTGATTTCTAAGAGATAAAGCTTAGGACATCATTCTCTAGAAGTTTGTGTCTATTTTCCGTTAATTTGATCAACTATATTTTCAATCTAATTCAACATAAAATCAGACTGCCCGTTTAAGGAGCATAATAATATATTCGTGCAGTTATTTTATAGTCGTCCTTTAAACTATGATATGATATATGGTGTATCTAACTTATTCAAACCACGTGATGTTATAATTCAATATAGTTAAGCAATAAAATATTTCCATACCCGAGGCGAGTCATGACCAAAACTAATCCATCTTCCGACCAATGTACATGATATTGTTTATATTGATTTTGGTTATTTATTAGTAATTTGTTGTCGCACACCCGGGTCAAATCAAAATTTAGCTATTGGTTGCTCCGCAGCAGCTGTTGGCGTATATCATATTACACTGTACAATGATTTCCTTTTTGAAATTGTATAAAAAAATAAAACAAAACCGATGGTTGGCCAATATTTCATTTACATCCTTCCAAAGCCCAACCGACAATACCTTGACATGTTATATCAGTTTTCTTCGGGTAAAGGCAACAAAATTATGATCTTGTTGTTGGGCTTTTTTTAGGACGAGAGTAATTTCTGGTTCTAAGCACAAAAATACAGCCTTTATTGAAGCCAATCCGGTGTTTTCTTGGCCGAAACGCAGAGTATTAAAGTGTTGGTGTTGTGATTATCTGTGTTTTTCTATCTATTATTTCTAGGGGCATGCTAACTATCACACTGGTACTAGTTATTTCTCTATACAGTGTCATGAAGGAGACATAAAGCCACATTACATTATAGTAAGTGAATACAGTATCTCAATGCTACCATTAAAGTGATTCGGAAGGGGTTTCTCTTTCCGACGTTTGTAAACACCATAACTGTAGAGGCGATCGATGTAATTCCTATTAAACCAATTGATACTTGCTTTACTGGCCTCATCATTATTTTTTCAGAAATTTCTATAACAGGATCCACGTGTGTCAGACGGACAATCTTAGGCAAATGAGGTGGCTCCGTTGTACATACTAAGACAACAAAACCTCGTTGAGATCCCTCTGGTTGGGTGATTCAAATCCAAACAAGCAAGACAATCAAAAACCTCGTCCACAAAATGGCAAAATCGTAGGTAGTATAGTAGTGGACTCCTCCAAAGAGTACCATCAGGTGTTTCGAAAAGAGTAAGCATGTTCTGGTCTAGAGGAACAGGGTCTACCTGTATTCTATTCTATTCAAGGTGCCAAAGAATGCCCAATCCAGATCTGAAAGTTTATATGATTTAGTTTGGAGGGGATGGGTACATGGCACAAATCAACGGAATACGCCATTTCTCGCACTCATTATAAAAACATTTCGAAATCGTTTCTTCATTGGCTGATTTCTAGAAACACAATTTTTGAAAGGTGTTATCGAAACACCTGATGGTGCATGTACTTCTCTTTTGAGGAGTTCACACTACTATAAAACTTTTACTCTCTAATTCGCCATGTTCGTGTACGAGATTTTTGATTCAATTGACTTGCTTGTTTGGATTTCTATTTGTGTTGTGAAATGTGTTCAAATCTTAAAATGATCAATGAACAGTAAAAGCCTTCAGTAACACGTGATCTTGTTTTTAGAAAGGAAGTGTCTATAAAGGAAATATCAAGTATAATCTAGATACTGTAGAGAAGCAGGTCGAGGACCTGACAGATAGTTTAAGAAGGGAGACAACTCTATATAAGCTAGTACGAGATACCGAACAGTATACTGATCATCAGTCAGGTGAGGATTGATAATTAATTGGTTATATACCTTGACTATCTACTCTATATATTGACATCAGGCAACGGCTTCATCATACGAATAATTGATTGGTTGAATAATGTTATTAGAAGAAGACAACGATAGAAAACGTGTTAGATTACAATGGAGACAAATATCAGAAATTGAAATCAAATTTAAATCTTATGGGATATTGAAAATCTGGACCACCATTGTCGAAGGAACGCTCCGTATTCGACCCTTCTCAGAGTCTCAGAGACATATGTTTTTCAATTTGTCATTGGCTATTTTACCCTTGTTAACCAATTCAAAACTTTGGGACTTCAGCTTTTTTTTTAAACCCATTTTCCTTATCAAGAATGTCGTACAGAAGTTTTCTAACAGCTTCAGCATAAAAAGCATAGCGAACTTTGAAATTTTGCGTAACGTTGTACGTAAAATTTTGGCATTAAAAAATCAACGGCTGGATTTTTTCAGTTCAAGCTTTCAGATACGCTATGGGATACATTTCTGAAGATTTTGGTTTATAGTTTTCATAAATTTCGACCTACAAAAAAAGGAGGAATATAAATTTAAGCAGCAGATAATATAATAAAAGAAACCAGAACAGGAACAATGAATTATTAAAAAGATTTGGACAAGAAATAAGAGTGTTGAATTTTACTAATGGTTAAGCGAAAGATCAATTCACTATATTCCTTTTCTGTCAGTTATATTTTTATGTTGAATGTTTGTTTTATGTTAAGTTACCTTTTTAGAATCCTTTTTCTAAGCAGATTATCAGAGGCTACATGCCAGGACGACGAGATATCTGATACAGAAGGTGAAGAGACGAAGAAAACGATCCAGTTTAAAAGAAATATTTCTAGATGTACTAGTGGTTACTGATTATGCTATTTATAAAGAGTGAGTTTTGATTAAAAAACTCAAAGACAAGAATCAAATATTCTTAATCTTCGCACGTCTTTACAGCCAATCCTCTTTTTAAGGATCTTCCATGAATCACGTCTATCCGTCCAGAACTATGTCAAAACAGATTTGGGCCACACGCCTCCTATACCATTTCGGGCAAAAATCTCATAACTAGGTTTCAAATTTGGGCAACCTCAGGTATTCTGTCCTGTGATCTTAAGAATATCTACCGAGGACTTTCGTTGTATTTACTGGCCTACAAAGCAATTAATTCGCTGTATTTCTTGATACATACAAAAATAGTGGATAGTGCAGTCAAGGTGTCAAGGTATACGACACAGTTGTCAATGTTACTGCTTCTTCTTTGTGTGTTTTTCCAATGATAGAATTTATAATATGTTCTGTCTGATATTTTCAGATGGATGGTGAGAGAGAATGATATTAATAATAAAACTAAAGACAATATCAGAAGATATTTCTCTCATATTATCAACGGGGTACTTAACTTCAGTTTATCCATTTTATTTTTTATAGATCATTTTCCGAGAGTCGCATTACTTATTTGGTATTTATCATTAATCTTTGGGCTGATTTCTCTGCTGGTGGACATGACTGTTTCCGAGGTTATTTGTCAACCTTATAATTGCTTAAGGCGTTTGCTTCAAATTCCTTCATTCTCTTACAAAATACCAGCTCTGGAGAGGGCAGAAATTTGATTGGTTTATGCAAGGTTAAGTCAAAAGGTTATTTTGACGAATGTCTAAGAGGCCTGCCTTTAGACACTTACTGAAGTGGCTAAATTAAAAACTATTCAGAACACGGAACGAAAGTTTGGTCTAATTTATTCTGACTGTATAGAAATGATTTCACAAGAGATGAGTTGGAGAAATCAACGTACATGAATTCTGTTATTTGTCAGTTTTCAGTCACAAACTGATCTCTTTTCCAGTCCAAATTGAATGATTTATTCAAAATAAAAATGATTATAAACTGTAATATGTTTCAGGTCAGTGCCCGGTATAAATCTATGGCGTCCACAATAAAAATCAACATCAGATTGGTTGGTATTATTATAGCTGATGTAAGTATATATCACTTCTCAATGTATTCACCAATCTTCCACCATTTCGGTGAATTGTGTACATCCTTGTATGAAAAACTTCCTGACTGAGAATTGATATATTTCCTCATGTGTAAAGTCCATTAGGCTACCAATGTTTCGCCATACTGTTATTTTGATTTCCGGTTTCGTTTGATGTTTGGATTGTTAGAGCTTGGTCTTTCGTTTTTAATTTCATAGAACAATCTATTCCTTAGAAACCAGGCCCACAGGGTCAAAGAGGACAATGCCCCTCCCCCCTATTGCACTTGTCTTCAGGGTTTAACCGGTGTGACACAACAGCATGATATATTACCTGTCAAAATTGATTTAAAAAATGAAAATTGAATTTCACACGCTTACAATAAACACGAGAAAATGTGTTAAATGGAGAAATATTTTGAGGTCTCTAAACAATCTGTCAAATTTAACAGAGTTTAATCTTAATCAACTTGTTTAAATATAATAGGTGTGACACCTTCTGCTGGAGCATTGTTAACAAATTCGTTTGTATAGTATGTATATTAAAGTCAAGCGATTGTGTCTTCAATGCCCGACCATGTCCATCAGTCAGTGGTTCCTTAAATATCAGAAAAAATATCCACGAGAATATGATCTCACTCTCTCAGACTTTGGTTGAACTTGGGTTAGGTTGGGTAACACAAAACAGGGACGTGTGGCGGGGGTAAATAGGAATGGTGTCAAAAACAAGTGTTAGCAAAATCCCTTCCTGTTTGATCATTACGTGCAGTAGATATACCTGGATACATGAGTCAGGTTTAAAACGTCAGTGAAGTTGTTTGATCATTACGTGCAGTAGATATACCTGGATACATGAGTCAGGTTTAAAACGTTAGTGAAGTTGTTTGATCATTACGTGCAGTAGATATACCTGGATACACGAGTCAGGTTTAAAACGTCAGTGAAGTTGTTTGATCATTACGTGCAGTAGATATACCTGGATACACGAGTCGGGTTTAAAACGTCAGTGAAGTTGTTTGATCATTACGTGCAGTAGATATACCTGGATACACGAGTCGGGTTTAAAACGTCAGTGAAGTTGTTTGATCATTACGTGCAGTAGATATACCTGGATACACGAGTCAGGTTTAAAACGTCAGTGAAGTTGTTTGATCATTACGTGCAGTAGATATTTTCGGACTATCCTGTTCAACGCCGGATTCCATTCACATCTAACGCCAGTTTGCTGCCACAACCAACCCTCTTTACCTCTGAAATTTAATTCCTCCGTCCACACTGGCGTTTTTAGGAAAAATTAGTTGAGGAGTACGAGCAGGGGCCACACAAATTTTTCCAGGGGGGGGGGGGGGACTATGCTTTCACTAGGTAAATTGATAAAGATTTTGAAAGTGGAGAGGGGGGGGGGGGGCGTGGGCAAAGCCGGGCCAGCCTCTTTTCTGGTCCCTCCGTAGAAACGCCACTGTCCGTCCATGTTCATGTAATTACTATTCAGATGTTGAATCCAATCGTTGTAGAGTTCAGAGACAGCCCCGTGGACAGAACGACATAAAGAGAAGGTAGAATCTAGATATGAAGTAGACGCTGATATCGTACTAGAAGCTTTAAAACATTGGGTTATTAACTCTACTGATATACCACCACATGATCACGTCATGTTGTTTACTGGGTAAGCTTCCTTGACTTTTCTTCAGTGTAATTTATAAGTAACTCCTCACAGGCTTAAGCTTGCTATGAAACATTGAAATGAAATGAATTGAGTTTTACTTGCTATGAAACATTGAAATGAAATGAATGGAGTTTTACTTGCTATGAAACATTGAAATGAAATGAATTGAGTTTTACTTGCTATGAAACATTGAAATGAAATGAATGGAGTTTTACTTGCTATGAAACATTGAAATGAAATGAATGGAGTTTTACTTGCTATGAAACATTGAAATGAAATGAATTGAGTTTTACTTGCTATGAAACATTGAAATGAAATGAATGGAGTTTTACTTGCTATAAAACATTGAAATGAAATGAATTGAGTTTTACTTGCTATGAAACATTGAAATGAAATGAATTGAGTTTTACTTGCTATGAAACATTGAAATGAAATGAATTGAGTTTTACTTGCTATAAAACATTGAAATGAAATGAATGGAGTTTTACTTGCTATAAAACATTGAAATGAAATGAATGGAGTTTTACTTGCTATGAAACATTGAAATGAAATGAATGGAGTTTTACTTGCTATGAATAATTGAAATGAAATGAATGGAGTTTTACTTGCTATGAGTAATTGAAATGAAATGAATGGAGTTTTACTTGCTATTATGGATTATCTTACTTTCTCGATTGCTAGTGGTATTGAACGAGACAACAAAGGGTACTACGTTATGATGAATATTTAGTCCTATTGGTCGTGTTAAACTCAGTATCTTTATTTAGTTTCTGTTGAAAATCAATTTCTATGTGCTCAATTAGAGGTTAGGATAAGATCGGCTGATAAATGCCCGTCCATGTTGGAATAATTAGAAACAGGCTTGTCTTTCTTTAATTTGATAAATGAAAATTTTTTCTACATTTCAAATTTGAATATAGAATTCTCTCCCTTTATGCAGGTATGATCTATTTGGTAATGATAATGGTTTTAGATTTAACTATACCACTGGTTTAGCCTATATTGGTACGATGTGTCAAGGTGATGGACGGAGTGTGTCTATAGTAGAAGATCATGGAGGTTTTCAGAGTGTTGGAACTGCTACACATGAGATAGGTCACAGGTAATCAGCATTGGCTCAGATGAGTGGGGGCTTGTGGTCTTAGAGCAATCGTTCCCAACCTTTTTCAGCCTTCACACCCCTGGAGCAATCAAAAAATTTTTGTTTCATCCACATTTTCAGCATGTGTTGATGTGAGGTGCTCTCTCAATTCAAAATAAATCCTTCACCTACATCAGTTGGCCACACCCCGGACACCCTAGTCCCACATCACAGGTTGGGAACCGGGATCTTAAAGGCCTCTCTCCCAGGATTTCTTAGTCGTTGACTGGGGCGTAGAATGGGTGTTCTGTGGGTTTATTTTGATGTCACGAAGTGCTGCTTAACAGGCAAGCCGTTTAATATAGATAGATTCCAAGATCGTCTGTCCTCTTTACAGCTGGACATCTGAAACAATGATCGTCTGTCCCCTTTACAGCTGGGACATCTGAAACAATGATCGTCTGTCCCCTTTACAGCTGGGACATCTGAAACAATGATCGTCTGTCCCCTTTACAGCTGGGACATCTGAAACAATGATCGTCTGTCCCCTTTACAGCTGGGACATCTGAAACAATGATCGTCTGTCCCCTTTACAGCTGGGACATCTGAAACAATGATCGTCTGTCCCCTTTACAGCTGGAATATCTGAAACAATGATCGTCTGTCCCCTTTACAGCTGGAATATCTGAAACAATGATCGTCTGTCCCCTTTACAGCTGGGATATCTGAAACAATGATCGTGCTGGGATATCTGAAACAATGATCGTCTGTCCCCTTTACAGCTGGGACATCTGAAACAAGATCGTCTGTCCCCTTTACAGCTGGGACATCTGAAACAAGATCGTCTGTCCCCTTTACAGCTGGGACATCTGAAACAATGATCGTCTGTCCCCTTTACAGCTGGGACATCTGAAACAATGATCGTCTGTCCCCTTTAAAGCTGGGATATCTGAAACAATGATCGTCTGTCCCCTTTACAGCTGGGACATCTGAAACAATGATCGTCTGTCCCCTTTACAGCTGGGACATCTGAAACAATGATCGTCTGTCCCCTTTACAGCTGGGACATCTGAAACAATGATCGTCTGTCCACTTTACAGCTGGGACATCTGAAACAATGATCGCCTGTCCCCTTTACAGCTGGGACATCTGAAACAATGATCGTCTGTCCCTTTACAGCTGGGATATCTGAAACAATGATCGTCTGTCCCCTTTACAGCTGGTTGATCTAAACAAAACAGTTCGTCCTGTCGTTCAAGCTCCAGAAAGCTTTGGTCATGATCAATTTAAGGCGCGACTCTTCTCCATTTCAGTCTAGGAGCGGACCACGATGGTACCAACAACACGTGCTCGTCAAAAAATAGATACATCATGGCGGGCCAATCATTTAATGAAACGTCTAATAATGCCTTCAATCCCTGGACTTTTTCCAGATGTTCTATCAAATATTTTACAGATTACATCAACTCAATCGGTGATTCTATGTAAGTAAAAGTGCTACAGTGGCGGCAGTCGCCCCTCTCGCAGCCCCGAAGGCAAGTTTTTCGAGCAAATCTCTCATAAACAGGTTAGAAATTCGGGCAACCTCGGATATTTCACCCCCTCCTCCCTCGGACGTAAACGAATTATATCATCTTCACAATGTCAATCTATTACTTCCTCTTAACTGCAAATGTCACGTTTCTTGTATCAAAGAAAGTAGCGATTTGGTTGATATGTATGCCAGTATACAGCCAATCCGAATCATCGACAGAAAGGGTGTAAACACTAAACCACTATGTTTACTGTCTCTACTGGAACTGATGGGATCAGATTTGTCGGCTAATGATGTTAGTGTTTGCAGTTTATACTAATTTTTATTGTCATTTTTGCGAACCATTAAGTCCATATTTCACAATTAACAAAACGTTTCTATTACAGAAAACAGCGACAATGTTTGCTGAATAAAATAGAGGTAGATGTAACATTACCGGATGTGATTGATGATCAACCAGGCCAGGAGTTCACGCCTGATCAACAATGTACCAATATATATGGTAATACATCTTATTTATGTAGGGTAAGTCCTAGAGTTCTGTTTTTCTCATTTACCTTTTCATTAGATATACGTGGACTCTTCGTAGGGGGTGGGGATACCTCAATACCAAACAAATGTTACATGTATCAGTTCAAATCAGATGTCTATGTGATGATTTTTAACACAAATGGCGTCAAATAATCAACAAATTGTCTTTTAGGGTACATCATTTGGGCTTGGTGAATCTATCTGTAAGGCGATGTTCTGTAGAAATCCCCACACTACTAGAAAATGTGTTCTTCACAGTGCGGCTGAGGGTACGTCGTGTGGGGATCGCAAGGTAGGTCATTGTCTCGTGATTATTTTAACTGAAATTTAAACAAAAAATACTGTACCACACAGAAATTGCCAATCACAATCGACCGAGCAATAATTTGATTCTGAAAAAAGTAGATAAAGCCAGATGAAGATTGATTGTAGCATTCCTAAAATAAAACCAACAATATAGCAATATGGCAATATAGCAATAATATATCAATATAGCAACAATATAGCAAGATAGCAACAATATAGCAATATAGCAACAATATAGCAATATAGCAACAATATAGCAACAATATAGCAGCAATATAGCAACAATATAGCAATATAGCAATATAGCAATATAGCAATAATATATCAATATGGCAACAATATAGCAATATAGCAACAATATAGGAATATAGCAGCAATATAGCAATATAGCAACAATATAGCAACAATATAGCAATAATATATCAATATAGCAACAATATAGCAATATAGCAACAATATAGCAATAATATAGCAATATAGCAATATAGCAACAATATAGCAATATAGCAACAATATAGCAATTCTGAGACCCCTCGACATCTCTTGATGCGATTTTACGGTTGGCTTGCTTAATTTGATATGCATAAAGAAGGATTCACAAAGCCAAAATGTTAATTTGATATATTTGAGGTTTGCTTTGGTTATTTTTTTAAATCTTAAGTTATTTTTCAGTGGTGTCATCAAGGTCATTGTGTTTACTCAAAATTAGCACCGTCCAGACAAGGTGAGGTATTGTGTTATTTAACAAAGACAAAGACATATAATTGTCCGGATATGGGAGTCATAATTCGGTTTTAAAATAATTCTGTCTTTTTAGTTTGATTTTCTTTGGTGCATATTGGCCTTTATTTACAGGCTGTGTATCCATCGACTTTTGAAATAAGCTAGACTGATGTCGCTGTCGTTGCAATGTGTTCTTCATTGCTCACAGGATGCTGATGCCCGTCTCCATTAGCCCAATCATATACAGAAAAAATAGAACGTAAAACTCCAATCATTCATCTCTATCAACAGCTGGGTGTATATTTGGGGATCAAGCTGGAGTGATATTTGAAGGTAAAACATGTGATATGTTACTGAAGGAATCCCCGGGGTACTGTTATATACAATCATTCTGGGATAGATGCTGTCAATCCTGTTATTCACTACAAACTGGTGTTAAAGGTAATATAATATATCTGTTAGTAGCGTATATAAACCACATATTCTTTACAATGTCAAGTTATTACGAGCTTTTAAACAATAGCCACTTTTCTTGGAAGTTTGTTAGGGAGGGTCACAGAATTGTCAAGGGGAGGGGCAGACAGAATCAGTTATTAAAAAACTCGTTGATAAAAAATTGAGACTGCGGAAGGGGTGGGGAGCAAAGTCGAGCCAGAGAAATTTATGTGGGCCACCCCTCTCACCCTCTCTGTTTATATATATAAGATCATTAAGATACATAGAATATGTGGAGCGTAAAATCCATTTGAATTTACAGGTTGTGAGTTCGGTGATAAAGTCCTACACTGTAAGAAAGCTAACTGTGGACAGAATGTAAGTAACGGCACGCTGTATGATATAGATTGCTGTGGGACGTGTAGCTACAAAGAACACCAAGCGACTACTGTATCCTCGATAGAAACCACAGCGGCTACAGTTTCAACCAACAAAGCCTGTGAGGATACCACCTTCTATAACAGAACCTGCTCAAACTATCTGCAGTTGAATGGTAAACTGGAATGCTACAAGAGACAAGTCTATGAGAAATGTTGTCAGTCATGTTCTAAGATGCGAGCTCGTAACGATGGTATGTAGTAAAGGGGGGCCCTCACGCCATAGTCATTACCAGTTGTGTATGGTAGC